TGCAATTTCCGAAAACTCACAAATGTATGCTACTCGAAATAGGGCAGGTCTGAATCGCTGGATGGGTTGTTGCACACTTTTCCCCATCGATTTAATGAATGAATAAATCATTTTGACCTAAAAAGAGTTCACTTCACGATCATATCCAAGGAATGTGATTATATTTCTACCGCACACATTAATTAGCTTAAAGCCAAGATGGTTTGACTTTATATTATTCTCGTTTTGTTTATTTAAGCTTTTTAAATGACTATATACTGTAGCAAAATGTTTCAGTATGTTTCCCACATTTCCCCTGCTCGAGAATTACCATCTGCGATAGGAGCAAGCATAATGCTTTCAATATGTAGAAGAACAAAATCTTCTCACAGGAAAGCAGGCAGCTAATGACTCGTAATAATTGCGGTTCATGTTCGGTAAGAAAAATAGGCTTCATTAAATACTAAAGCGCTTAGCAAAGGGACCCGCAACCCTCGGCAGAATCCCCTGCGATGGATGGAAACAACATCGGCAAAACCAAACCAACGAGCATAACAAACGATCTATGAACATTTTTGACCATTTCAACAAGCTTGAACATTTTGCGGTTCCACCCAGGAAATTGTTTGTTGGATTTCTGAATTATATTTTGTTGTCTGGTAAAATGAGGATGCAAAAATTAAACCGGCTAACAAATATTTCAGCATGTGTGTGCGCCAGTTTGTCTCGTGTGAGTTTAGGCTTGTATGCTACTGATTAAGTTGTGCGGTAGCCTTTCAATTTTTAGGAACTTGAAAATGATGTGAAAATGAAATTTCAAATGTAAACAATTTATTATTAGGCGCTTGAGCTGGTTTGCCAGTGGAATTTTCTCCGGCTGCGGCCGAGTACTCGAGGCGTATACACAATGTGACCATGGGAAATTATGCTAAACGGTTTATGGCCTTCAACCAAGCCGCACTGAAGAAGCCTCCTTTGACTTGCGCAAAATTATTTGCACATTTGCAGCTCACCGAATTATTTGCTAACTATTTGGGAAATTGTTTAACTCCTCCACGAGTGTGCGGCCATTACTAACACATGAGCGCTTTTTACGTCGCTGACCGGCGAAATTTTTGTTGGGCAAATTTATTGAGCGTAAAATTTTGTGGAAATTCGTTTTTTTTACCCTTTCCCCACTTCTGCAAAACTAAAACATAAACATAAATATTTATTAGTCTGCAAAGAGTTGTCCCATCGCTTTGCATATACCATATATGTGTATGCAAATGACTACGCCAAGATCTGGGGCCTGTCATTGACCCATTTCCGGATGGCCCCAACCTCGTGGTAAAGCACACAGTAAATGTGCTGGAAGCTGAGGCCCAGCAATCAAATGATTCACTCAAGCTGATGGAAGTGCTCCAAAGTTTTTGCATAAAAATTTGATTTGCGTAGAGAATTTATTGGCACGGAAACTCCCAATTTTAAAATATAATAAGCTATTGGATTGATTAAATTATTTTTAAACATGTTCAATACATTTTTGTGTTTTAAAATTTTTAGTTTCATAATCTGTTTTAAAATACGTAATGGTATTGACTGCTATTAGCTTAAATACTCGATTTGTCTGCATTACTTTTATCTAGAACGTATATACGTATGTAGCCAACGGCTCAGTTAACTCTAAAACACTCCATAAATGCTACAAAGATCAGGCCGTAAATACAAATGACACATTGTGCGCACAAATAAAAACGCACTAAAGCAAATGCTCGGGGAAGATGTGACTCGCATTCCGTGGGGGTTAAACATTTCGCTTATTTACCTGCCTAAAAACAAATCCCCGTATACAGATACGTGTATCTATGGCTAGACAAGTGTCAGGCACCAGATAATCATTTCAGTTTACAACTTTTTCCCTGTTGTTGTTGTTTGTTTTGGCAAAAAGTTTTTGGCATCCCCTCGACTCATTGTCGCGCCTGCTTTATGGGCGTAGCTATTGCCATTGAAGCCGTCGTGGCCGTTGTTCCTTTTTATTGCGGCGTTTATATTTGTTGGCAGGAAATAGCTTTCGTGTGCTCACATTCGATAGATACAATCGCAGCACGCAACAATTTGCACTTCTTTATGTTGCTGAACTTCAAACTTTGTTTGGGCTCCCCACCCCACCGATCCGATCCGGTCCTTTATTTTTATAAACATATTTTACCTTTCATGCATGTGCGCACCTGTTCCCTTGCCTTCGTTTTATCCGATGCTATGTGCGATTTTATTTATTTCCGTTCGCCTGCCAACTCTTACAAAAGCCCATAAAGATTTCCAGAATGCGAAACAAATCTGAGCAGGCACACGTATCTGGGAGATACGCTTTGGGCAAGGCCAAGTTTAAAGATTCGCCGGGCCGCAAAACCTTTTCCCTTTCCATTCCGGTTCGCATTAGATTCTGCAGCTTTTATTACATTAAAGGATACTCGTCCTGGGCTTGGGACTTTGCCACTAACACTTTCTTTTCGTGCCTTGAAAAATGACTGCACCAAACTTTTATTGTTTGTTTGTAACTTTTAGGCAATCTCAGCTTGTGACCTGAGGGTAAAACTATAGCTCGAAGGATCACCTTCGCAATGCTATGAATTTGTAATAGCTATGAAGATCGATTTTCACTCAAAACGAAATGTCATCTTCGTTGTGCAATAATCGTTAAAGAATATTTATATGCGGAATGTAGTTCATTTAAAATAATTTTTTTAAGCTTAGCTTCCGTAAAAATACACATAATAAAAAAATAAAAAATATTAAACAGGCTATAATAATAGTTTTACTAATAATTAATTAATTATTATATAGCCCCTTAAAAACAATATTACATTACATCGTTACATATTTATCCGGTTTTAATCTGATTTAAACCAAAACCTTTGGGCATCTCAAATATTATTTGAGATGCTTCAGTGTCAAACAATGTATGTTAGATAAGTTGTTGTTATGTGTGTTCTTGGTTTTGCAGTTCTTAGATTAAATTTTGTTGGGCTGAAGCAAAAGTTTTAATTAGAGGTCAAGATTCCTTCGAAGTCCCTTTGGTCATTGGCCATGTGCTGTGCATATTAATTTGGATTAAAAACAAGTTAATTAACATTGAAGTTTGTGTGCGGTTGAACGAACCACAGGGCGGATGAGCAATAAACTCCATTGATGTGGATCCCGGAGCGAATCCACTTGCAGTTATAATCAGCTTAGCACTAAAGTTGCATCATCATCAGCCTCAAAGGGATGATTGCTCCTACTCCATCCGGCTACTTACATGTTTAAACAATATTTCTTAATTGAAGTGCCGGAGGGCAAACCCACTACCCAACAACATTAGCAGTGACAGCTTATATAGCTCATGAGTCGGTTACCACAAAACACCAGACCGTACCACCGTACCACCGTACCAGGGAATTGTCTGGCTCTTCCTCCCATTTTTTGGCTGCAAGCGGGAGAGCTGAGCAGAAATTAATTACATTGAAGTCATTTATCAAGAAAGTTTATTTCTTGCAGTCGGAGCTGGCCAAAAAAGCCAAAACTAAACCGAACCGAAACGAACTGAACTGAACTGAAATACAACAGAGTAGAACTGAAAGCCAGGCCAACTCAACCACATCCCGTCAGTTGTTGTTTCCGTTACTTGGTTGTTGTTATGCTTATTTTTATTTATTTGCCCTGGCACTGCCTATTGTTAGTGAGAAGTAAATCAATAAATGGCATCGGGCTTTCGGATTTTGTTTCTGTTTCGGTTTCTTTAACATTTTTTTCCTCTCCATTGTTTTTCTGTTGAGCTGTGCAAAATAATTGCAAAAGTTTTACCCAAGCTGGCAAATTGTTTGCTGCATTTTCGATTAGCAAAATGTCAATTTCGAATGAAAATGAAAATAAAAAGCAACTACCAAAGCACTTGGCCAAATTGTCGATAACTGGCAAATGCCACTACACAGGCGATTCGCTGGCTGGTTGCGATGGGATGGCAAATAGTGGATCCCGGCTATCGGGGCATCGAGGTCTCCGGCGACAAGCGGAGCCATTTTCAAAATTTGATTTCGTTCGAGCCAAAATGGGCAATGGGCAATGGCCAAGCGGTCCAGCGACCAGCTACCAGCAGCTTCATCCGCACCAAAAATAGTGCATGGGTCAGGGGTCGCATCTACATGACAGCAATATCCATCACGAGGCCAAAGCTCCATTCTGGCTTGACGATATACAAAAATTGGTTTAATCAACTGTGAAACAACTGCACCAACGACACTAGCTAAAATGGCCGGCAACAACAAGGGCAGCAATAGAGACAAATGTTGCAACATGGCTGGGATATAGTGAGAGGAATGGGAAACTGCGACGGCTCCATTTGCAAACAAGATTATGGTCGAAGAAGGACTCTATATACCCTATTCAAGATTCAACATATTTTTAAAGACTTAACAACTTGAAGTTATGTGGCCGATTTAATTACATAAGCCACCAACATTTGCTAAAAGTGTTTCTAAAGCACTGATGAGGGCTTAAAAATACACTTTTTGATGGAAAATATTATTTTTAATCGACAGCTTGATTGGTTTATAAAACAAACATTTTAAGGATTTGTTTTTAAACATTTTCAATTTTAAAAAAGCAAAGTGATTAAATAAAATGAACTTATTTGTATCTTACTCAGCTTTTATCGTATTTATTGTTCATTGGAATGTAAAAAGTATAAGTTTTTTTTGTAATATTTTCCTAAGTTTGGTTGAAATGTACGATAATAACCAAAAGGCCTAAAAACGAAAGATCCAACGACATATTCAGCGTGTGCTGATGTCGCTGCGTGGGCAATCTCAGGCTATCACTATCGATATTCACTTTCCTTGTCAATGCACAACAGCAACACTAACAGCAGCAACAGCAGCAACTTCGACGGGCGCAACAGCAACTTCAGTGACCAGGAAATGTGCCAATTTTAGCTTAACTTATTCCAACTCCTCTACGTTGCAAGAACCAGAGAATAATATCGATTTATGGGTTATTTGCAGGACTGCCGCGATATGGACACCGCTGCCGACGGAGTACCGCCAACGGCGCCAGCAGCGATGGCGACGACGGCCAACAGTGATCTGGACTTGGCGGCACGTCGGCGTCTCTTCATCTCACAGCCCTCGACTTTGGCGACGCGACGGCAGCAGGCGGTTTGTGTGCGGCGGGCCCACAAAATGTACGGCAGCAGCAAGAATCCCAACGTTGTCCTCGACGGCCTGAACATGACAGTGCCCAAAGGGTCCATGTGAGTATCTATCCGGTTAAGTTAAGATACACGGCTTCTGGTCCTCTGTCACACTTATGTAGTTCTTAGGGCTCAAAAGTTGATACACATGTCAAAAGCGCTTTTTTATTGAATATGTGTTTTAATAGAGCAATAATGTAGAACATAACCTACATTTTATACTTTTACTTGGCTTAAAACCATACTTTATCTCACCATAAAGTCAAGAAAGCATTTTATTTATGGCTGTCACAGAGTTATCTCCCAATCAAACTGTATCTAAAACTAAATCTGGGTATTAAAATATAGTAAGTCAGCGGCAAATATAATTTAATTCTGTATAAACTAAATACAAATTTTATTTTTGTAACTAAGCATCACTAACTTAACTTATTTATTAAACATAAAGCTATTTTTGTATGCTTTATAACTTAATTTAAATAATTTTAATTTAAAACTCCACAGTCCAGTCTTGATTTTTTAATAATTAATCTATAGTTTTATTTTATATACCAAATTGGTGAGCAAATAGCTGGTCTAGTGCCCCTTGGCAGCTTATCAAGTTCAAAATTTTCATTTCTAAACAAAATATTTTCATTTTCTAATTAAGCGCGGAGAACATGATTTGTGTAATGCCAGCATATGTAAATTTGCTGGTTCGCTTTCCCGAACTAAGCTCATTAGACCCCGCCCAATGATTAGAGCCCACGTGTGGTTACAGAAAAACAAAAATCAAATGCAGTTCCCCCCACACGCAAACACACAGAACAGAAATGACCAAAATCCAAAATCGAATATGCAAATGTGGGCATATGGGGTCTTGGAATTAGGATGGAGATTCCGGGGTGTAAGGGGAAGTAGCACTAACGAAATGCAAATGCAGTTTCCGAGAGATGGATTGAGCAGTTGCATTGCGGCTCTATTGTTTGAGTGCTGTGTGAATGGCCGCGAAATGTTAGTGACCGCAATTAGCACTCAACACCGAGCGGCAAATGAGGCAGCAAAGTGGTCAAGACGATGACGATGAGCCGCAGTCGACAGACTAAAAGTGGGTCAATGTCACCGCTTGAAAAACTGCCAAATTAACAGCAGCAACAAAAAAGACGGAGACGTGAAGCCCGCAGCACCCATTGATATTAAAAAACCAGTTTTTAAGCCAAGACTGAAACCGTCTAAGCGATCTTCAGAGTTGCCACATTTGGTGTATGTTGTACCTAAATATTTAATGCTATTTTTGTACCAATTAAATTTATTTTCTCTTGATGGTCTTGTTACTTTAACAATAACTTTCTATTTCACTTAAAGCAATTTATGCAAATGATTAAAAAAAAAGGTTTTTTCTTGTTAATTATAGTTAACTAAATTAATTTACTCCGGATTCTAAGAAACAAAGTACAGCTCATCTAACCATAATTCTTATGAAGTAACATGTAGCCTGGCCAGGTAAAAAACATTTTCATCACTACCAGCCACAAAGCTGACCGCCAAAGAGGGGAAGGGCTATGGCCTGGCCATGATATAACCATCGCCTTGATGTGGGTGTTTGTTTTGGCCATTTAGCGAGATATTTCACACTGCCTGAGCGACGGACTGACTGACTGACTGTCACACTTGAAAATCTGTGAAAAAACAACAAAAACCACAAACATAAGAGGCGCAGCTGAAAAAAAAAACATAAAACTGAAACAACAAAATGAAGAAAGAAAAACTGTCAGCAGCGTGTTAGTGTGAACGAGAAGATTTAGCACAAAATATGTCGCCCGGTCTCTCAGTCCGGAGTGTGAGGACTACGGCCTCAGGACTCCAAAATCCGGACTCGGGACTTCTTCCACTACCTCACCCAATTCCCTAAGCTTTTTGGCCCACACTGTCAGTCGCCGCACACAAAAACCATAAGCCCTTTACACTGAGGAAAATATATATATTTTTTTTTAATTATCACATAATTCGATGGAAATTATTATTATTTATTTTTCGATAAATTTTGATATTTAAATATATATTCACTATTTTTTATTTATTTATTAGCTTTGAGTTTAATTAAAGAAGGTTATTGAGCTAAGAAAATTAATGATTATATATTCGTTGGAAATGTGTGGTGGAATAATAAAAACAAAATTAACTTTAACTTAACTTAATTTAACAAAATAAGTTGTATCCAAACAAAATAGTGACTATACTATTGTTCAGTAAACCCATGTAAGCTTATTGTAGATTTTTAAATCAAAAATTGTTAAATATTTTTCTCTGTACACATAAAATTGGGGAAAAACTCGAGATTTGTGTTTTTGTTGTCGCCCAAAACTTTGAGCCGCTTTTGTAGGCGCAGGCAACCTTCCCATCCAATTTTTTTTTGTTGTCCGTGGGCTGACTGACATTTGTTTTGTTGAGTTTTTTTGTTGTATGTGTGAACGGAAAGGGGAGGACTGGGTGGAAGGTGGGTTATGAGCCTGTAGCCATCATTCGGATGTCTACTGCTCCGTGATAAATAATTGTGTTTTTTTTGCTTTATTTGCAACGAATTATAGTTATTTTTTCTACCCAAGCACCCAGAGCAGAAATCATATATACGTACGGATAGACAAACAAGACAAGTGTAGACAACAATGAACACTTGAAGTGGTGTTTGTGGTCTGGGCCAGAGTGTTTGCAAATAAATCACGCCATTGATGCATAAATAAAGCGCAGAAATTACGCGGTCTCTGCAGTGGCCGAATTTATGGCCATCGGAGTGTGTTTGATTTGGCGGATTGAAAAGTCGCGCATCGGTTGGATAAATTGAATTGCGAAAAATGGTTTTTGCAAATGGCAGGCAAATAAAAGCAAAATAGCCTAATAATTTAACCGTCCCGCTCTTGAAGCTACGAAACTTATTTAATTTCGTATATCGGTTGGTCTCGGAAGCTCTGTTTATTTATTTGTTTACTGTGAAGTCTCCGTTATTTCGGTACTTATTGCAAATCAAATTATAATTATTAATTTATATTTTCTTATATTTCGTTCCAATGATCTGGTTGTGTACAAATAATTTTTTCTTAACTGAAATGTATTATTTAATTTTTGACTGCTCCGAAACTAACTTAATTGGAAACAACTACTATAATCAGACATAATCAATCAGATAGGCCTTGTGGTTTTCCTGCCATTTTAATTGAACAGCTCAGTTCATTGGGCTGCTTAATTTGCTGATGATTTCATAATCCAGTTCCTCGACCATCCGTTTCGGCAGTCAATTACTTAAAGACAAAGTGGTTTTCTTAAAGGTTTCGCTGCCAACAAATTGATCAACTAATTGCCAACGTCTCGTGCGAGTAATTAAATGTTTTATTTCTCTGACCCCAAAAACGAAGTTTCCCGCAAGACAGCAAATAAAACCGCAACACTTGGACATGTTCTTCAATCTTCCATTTCTAACCCACCAACCCACTTGTTGCTCTTGACCACAGGTTGAAGGTTTTTTGGCCCTAACTGAGGACCATCTCGTCTCTTGTCTTTGTGGTTAATGCCATTTCTGCATGCTTTATTTTAAATGATATCTAAACTGAAGGAAACTGAAGTCCCACGTTGGAAGTTAATACACTTCATAAATGGAAATGGTTTTAAATTTATTTAAAATGATAATCAAAGCCATACCGTACACTTTTTTAAACACAGGAATGGACATTTGTAAGTAATATGTTGCAATTTTTTTTTTGCAGATAATCCTTTTGCATTGTTAACAACAAAAATATCTTTTATTATTTTTATAATTTCCGTTAGAAACGGAGTATATGTGTATTTATAGCGCAAAAAATTGTTAATTTATATAACTTATAATAGAGCATTTAATAATATTGAAAAAATAGTCTGATTATTTAAAGAACCCAAAAAAAGGATTTAATTATTATTTATACAGAAAATGCATTGTGACTCGTCCCTAAGTAGAGTTGCAGCATTTTTGGGCGGACAAACGCTATTGGGTTTTTCAGATGATGATGATGATGTGGCCGCCATCCTTTGCCAGGTAAAACGACCAGAACCATAACAATGACTGCCCAATGCCGCCATTATTTTGACATACGAGAACCTGAGCCTGGACTGGCGAAAAACAGAGACCAGACCGGTTTGGAACAATGGAGAACACGGCGATGTTTTGGGGCGGCGTTCCCTGCTCCCAGGACCAAAAGGCATTACAATGGTGAAGGCTCAGGGGAGGGGAAGGCTGTGGGGGGAGGAGGAAACAGGGGCAACACGAAGAAACATAATGGCTGCTTACAATTTGTGAACGAGCATAATGCGAACATTACATCCGCGCCATTGTTCTTGGCCAGCAGCAGCAGGAGGGGTTGGGTCAACAGGCGCGGATGGACGAGGATGGTGAACGAGTTTGCTGGGTAGGCTGGGTGGCTCAAATTAAATTAAAGCTGTTTAGTTGTAATTGGTTGTTGAGAGGGGTCCAGACAGTTGGCGGGCTGATTGTTGGCCCTCCTCTCGACTGGAAGTGACCCTTTTTCTGGGTCCTTGGCTGTGTTTCGCTCGGCTCTGGCTTTTTTGCACTTTATTGCACCTACCATGAAAATGGTGAATTAATGGACCATGAGTAACGCTAAATTGAGTTTAGGCACACATAATAAACTTGGCCAATGTCTGAGATTTTTAATCTCCGCCAGCCGCTTTTAATTGATTGTAGATTGTTATTGAATTATTCAATACAAGGCCAGGGCCAAGGCCGATGTTAAGTGTTGACCATTTTGGGGAGCATTTAAATTGGGCTTTATTAATTTTGTCATAAATAACGTCCAGCCATTAACTGACATCATTATATCAGATTTTTTCGATATCGATTCCATGTTTTAGATGGGCTATAAATGTACTGCGTAATAAATACTGCATTTTAAGTCAACAAATAGTGTGTTATTAATTACATACATACACAAAATTTGAAAACAAATATGTCTGAAATCATAACTACAAAAATTTGCTAACTTTGCCTAATTAATACTTGTTTATATTGACATCGTAATTGACTTAGGAAATCAGAA